ATCTTTGGTGTGTCGGGGTTTCTGGCAATGAGTGCACCACAATTTGTCCTTATCTTCTGTTTTTTTCTGGAGATCTCCTTTCCTGGAAGAAGATCCCACACCAGTAGAGACACCCCCTTTTGCTGCCAACACAACTGCATCCCCACCAGGGTTGTTCATCAGATTTCTTCTGCTCTCTTCATATTGTACAAGAGCATAGACTTCTTGAACTGATGGGAGATCCTTAGAGCTGAGAATTTGTACTCTGATAGATTCATACATAGGATTCAGACCATGTAAGAAGGCAAACACCCTTTGCTAGGAGACAAGTTTCTTGTACATTTTGGCATTCTCATCACACTTCCAATCCACACTCTAGTAATGGTCCAACTCCTTCCAGATAGAGGTCAAGTCAGAGTAATATACTGATAAACATCTCTCCCCCTGTCTACAAGTAGATGATGCTGCCTGCAATTGATAAATCTTGGCATAGTGTCGCAATTCTGAATATGTAGATTTTGCTTGTTCCCAGATTTCATTTGTAGTTTCAGCCCACATGAAATTCTTCCTTATTTGAGGTTGCATGGAAACCAAGAGCCAAGACATAACCATACTGTTCTCTTGATTCCATCTATCATATTCAACATTCCCAGAGGGTGGTTCATTGATTCTCCCATTAATATAGCCTATCTTCCCCCTTGCAGTGATGTATAACTTGATCCCTCTTGACCACTCTAGGTAATTTAAACCATCAARAGGGWCAACAGCCATAGGAAAGGATAGGTCACCCCCACCCATTCCATTCAGCATTGAGGAAACTCCAGATGTGGCTGAATCTTCACTACCCATGGTTTCGGATTTAAGAAAAAAAACAACAACCAAAGGGGTACTTCCATACAGGGCTTTTACAGAAACAGGTCCTTCTGACCTACGGTTTCACTGGGAGCAAAGACTAAACACTACTGTTGCAGTACTGGAACAGGTCTGTATGACCTACAGTCTTGTAGGAATCCAAAAAACAACACTACAGTTGCAGTACATAACCAGGTCTGTATGACCTACAATTGTACAGAGGTCATATGACCCCCCAACAGAATGGAAAATACAGGGTGAAGTTCACCACACCCCTAATCGGCAAGCCTGGTAGCCGAACAGTCAATGACTGAGATCAATACAACAACAGCTTCAGGGCATCAACAGTCCATCAAAGGGGTAAAGAAATACAAAAAAGATTCAGTTGAATACAGCTGCTTTCAATATGTCTTTACCTCCAGGGGTGTATGGGAAGGAGATGCAAGGGAAGGCTTGTAAGTTGAAGAAGTCCCTTTATGGCCTTAAACAATCTCCTAGAGCCTAGTTTGACAGATTTCAGACTGCTCTTGTTACTTTTGGGTACACATAGACTCAGTCGGATCATACCCTATTTGTTAAGAGGAGAGATTCCTTAGTGACCCTTCTGATTGTCTATGTTGATGATATTGTGGTTACTGGTAATGATACTCAGGAAGTTGTTCATCTCAAAAGTTTTCTTAACACTAAGTTTGAAATTAAAGACTTGGGAGAACTCAGATATTTCTTGGGAATTGAAGTTGCCAGATCTAAGGATGGTATCTTCATTTCTCAACGGAAGTATGTTCTTGATCTCCTTGTAGAGACAGGCAAACTGGGTACTCGACCAACTTCTACTCCTATAGACCTAAATCATAAGTTGTCAGCTACTGATGATGAACTGTTGACTGATAAGGGAGTGTTATAAGACTGGTTGGGAAGTTATTATACCTTTGCATGACTCAACTAGATATTTCCTATGCAGTTAGTGTAATTAGCCAGTTCATGAGATACACATTTAGCAGTTGCTGAGAGGGTTCTATGCTATCTAAAAGGGACTACAGGAAAAGGTATCTTGTTTGCTAAGCATGGACACATGAAGCTGGAAGCATACACTGATGTTGGTTGGGCCGAATGTATTGATGATAGGAGGTCCACTTCAAGTTATTGTGCTATGGTAGCAAGGAACATTGTATTATGGTGGAGTAAGAAGCAGTCTGTACAGGCTAGATCCTCAGCTGAAGCGAAGTACAGGGCAATGGCACATGGAGTTTCAGAACTTTTGTGGTTGAGATCACTTTTAGAAGAACTGGGTATAGACTGTGAGAAGCCAATGATGTTATACTGTGACAACCAGGCTATTATCAACATTGCACATAATCCTGTTCAACATAACAGAACTAAGCACATTGAAGTTGATAGTCATTTTATACGAGAGAGTGTTGCCTAAGGAGAAGTCAGTCTACCATTTGTTGCTTCTGAAAAACATTTGGCTGATGTTTTGACAAAAGGTTTCCTAAAGGAAAGCTGGTTCATTATATAAGCAAGCTGAGCATGATTGATATCTATGCTCAGCTTGAGGGGGAATGTAGAGAGACTGGGCCGAATGGGCCCTAGCCCATTAGTGTCTTACTTATTAGTTCTTTCTTGTTATGTTTTCTTATTGGGCCTTTTTCCTTATGGGCCTTTAGCTCTTGTTTATGTTTTCTAAGTATGCTGATGATGTGGACGCCCAGGGCAGACTTGTAAATTATGTAACTTAAGTTAGATTAATAAAAGATTAGTGTGGGGGAAAGAGGTGATTATCGAACTCCTCCTTTCTTTCTCCTTTCTTCTCCATTCTTCCTTATTCTTCTTGTTGTCTTCTTCTTCTTCTCTACTTCTTTTGCTTTAATCTAAATTATTCTACTATTTTTTATTGGTCTGAATCATATCTCTCAAACACCTTTCTGGTACCCTAGAAGCCCCTCCCTCCAAAGATTCCCTTTTCCATGGAAGCGGGAGAAGAGATAGAAGAGATTGCTGTTCCCTCCAAAGGCCTCCAAAAAAGTTGGGACTTGAACCCCCTTTAGAAAAAATCAAGGAACCCTAGAAAACTAGAGTGCCACTTCCTAGGTCAAAACTGAAGAGCTCTACTAAATCAAGACTCCCCCCCTTTCACCAGTTCTTCCTGATTTTGTGTTAAACCCTAGACCAGCTACAAGGGATTGCAAATCCACCTAAAAATCCAAGAACTGGGCTTACCTAAAGTCTTCAATCAGCCCTTTACCTCATCATGCAATCGGCCGATCTAGGGCTGCATGATGGAGAAGCTTAAGAAACCTTTAACCTTGCTCTGATACCAAGTAGAAAAGTTTTGATAACCTATTTTGATATAAAATCTGTAAAAGAAAGAAGAGAAGAAAAGGTTTCTGCTAGAAAGAAAGAGAAGAGAGATAAAAGAGAATGGAGGAGAAGCCAAAAATCTTATCTGGTTGCCCCTTTCATTAGATTATATACTCATAAAGAGTGTACAAGTACAAGTATGCCCCTAGTAAGTCAACTACTTGTAAGAAGCTAAAAAGTCACACTTAACTTAAACATAAACTAATGGGCCTAAGACTCAACAACTACTTAACTAAGTTTGTAAATAAAAACAAATAAAATCGGCCCACAACTCAACACTTCCAGTTCATTTTCATCTGCTTATTTTGTCTATCAGGGGGGTAACTTAGTTTATTGAGACATACCAAAAAAATGAAATTAATGAGGAAATTTTAAATTTTAACCATAGAAAAATTTTGCATAGATATCCTATTCACAATTTTTTTAATATACCTGAGGAGAGCCATCCATCTGTATAACTATCAGTAAAGTCATAAAGATCACTCCAGAGCTTCATTGTCTCTTGATCAAGGATATTCTGCAAACCCTGCAGTCATGGGGAGTTAAAAATTATTCTTCTAGAATATAGCACAATAGTTTTAATAACCATCCATTCCATGAGAAAAAACAGTTCTGGCTAAAAACAGAAAAGAAAGAAATTCTACATGGACAGCCAAGGACAGAAATTGTCAAACCATTATAGAAAAAGCAGACCCAAGGGTTTGACTATCCTCAAGTTTGACACAAACGAGGTCAGAATTGGCAGCCACTTCAAATAACAAGCTCTCCACTACCCCCATGGTAAAGGCAGAATTTAATCAAGGAAATGCTCTTTTCCATGAACAGATAATTTACAAGATTAATATCATTTTTACTATAAAGCATCATTTACTTGGTGACAAAGACATCATTTAAACATTTTTTAGGTAATACAGTGTTAGAATTAAAAAATAAAAAATAAAAAGCTTAGGACCCATAATAATGCTTAACAGAATGAGGACCCCTCATACATGATCTCAGATGAAATATAAACCAGAGAGTTTTCATAATAAGGCGATGGAGTTTGCACCAGCAAGGAGATGGAGAAGAGTTTAGAAGATTGAGGCAAAAACGTTTGTCTTGGAAGAAGTTTGGACAAGAAGAGGAATTGCCCTGAAGGTATGGAGCTGAGAAAAGCTTCGCTGATTCTTGAAGAGAAAGCAATCTCCTGGTTTCAGGGATTCCTGGAGGGAGCGAAGAGAACTTTGAGAACAATAGAATGGAAGTGTAGTCTTGTGGAAGAGAGAAGGTATTCTGCTGAAAGAAGAGATAACAAAAAAGGAAGATTTGTGGGTATATACGAATATTATGGAGAGGGTCTGAAACAGTTCACTTGCTTCCCTGAAGGGAGAGAAGCCTCGGGTTGGGATAAACTAATACAAGCAATGCAGGATTTTCTGATGTTAGTATATGAAAGACGAAGTTCTCCAATCAGAAATGAAGAGGGTCAAAAGAATTTTGAAGAGAAGATGGAACTAACAGACTGGAAGGAAACACAAGAAAAGGGAACCAATACGGATAAGGATGTTCAGATTGATGCAAGATTAGGGTCAATGAGAATGTGGATCAATAAATCCAAAAGAGTGGGAGAACAAATTAGTATTATCCATGAGTAAGGATGTTACAGATTGGAAAACCCTGGGTGAAGAGATACAACAAATTTTGAAGGTATCAGAAATGCTGCAGATTATTCCTATTGATGGGCAGAAGGCTGTGATTTCTTGTAGAAATCCCTGGTCGAACTTTGAAGCTATTTCGGCAGTAACAAAGCAAGGAATGGCAGTGGTAGGAAGATGGTCCCCAAGTTGCAATGAGAAAACTGTAAACCCAACAGATAGCATTGAGATGAGAATTCTGGGGCTGCCTTATCATCTATGGTCGGATGAAATTTTTAACAGAATCACAAAGTTGTCTAGTGGGAAATTCTCAACTGTGGATGCTTCAGATCTCCAAGCTGTGCTTATAGAGATGAATGGAGCGAAGCCAGAACTCATCCCATGGTCTGTAGATGTTTTCTCAGATAGTTTCAAAGCTTGGATAGCTTCCTCTGTGGAAGCTCAACGGTGGAAAGAATTGGAAAGGTGGCCAAAGCTCAACGGTGGAAAGAATTGGATAGCTTCCTCTGTGGAACCACATGAAGCTCATGTGGCCAAAACCTGGTCTTGATGAAACCTTGGAAAGAGAAGAGAACAGAGAAAATTAGGAAGTTTCATGAATAAGGAAACTGAAAAGGCTGAGAATTGGAAAGGTGTAAATCAAGCTACCTCTCAGTGTGGTAATTCGAAGCAGCAGGTCAGAGTTTCAACGGGTATGTGTAAAACCTTCACTCATGCTTTAATGTATTCAATAGGGTATGTGTAAAACCTAACCTATTAGGTTAGGGCACTCCCTCTTTTTCCAAGAATTCATGAGCCGCTTGGAAAAAGCCTTCCATTTCCGTCAAATGACCCAACCTCCCCTGCGGCATTTTCACCAGACGGTCTTTGCCAGTAGTTCCATCCTCCCCGCTGGTTGTATGGACGGGTTGTCCCTCGCTGTTGCGTTCTATTAGGCTAAGGATTACAGGAACAAATGTAGTTAAATGGGCCAGCAGGCGGGTTACACATTCCACTGTGCCGAGATGTGAGGTGCAGGTGGTGATGATCACCTCAGGGGTATGCACTAGAGCCCTTGATGGGCACTCCAGGACCCGCCAACGCTCGTGAACAAAATATCAATACGCCCGGTACACTGGTAGAGGCATATCGGGCAGTATCGGTTGTTTTTTTTTTAGTTTTTTTTTCAAATCCAGTTCAGAGGGGCAGTTTAAGGGTCCGTCCACCCCCTGAACCGACCAAAACCCCGATACACCCTCTGTAGGGGCGTATGGGGAAGCTCCCGATACGATACGTATCAGCCAATACGGGCTGATATGTGTCGATTTTTTGAACCTTGCTTTAGTGAAAGTGGCAAACCAACTAGAAAAGATTATGAGGAATTTCCTTTGGGAACTAGGAGACACAAAAAAAGACTACCTAATGAAGTGGGAGGTGGTTTCTAGTAGAGATGAAGGGGGCCTAGGAATAGGAAAACTTAGGCTAAGAAACATAGCATTATTGGGGAAATGGTTATGGAGATTGCCGTTGGAACAGGATAGACTTTGGCATAGAGTGATTATTAGCATTCATGGATTGGCAGACAATGGTTGGGATGCAGGAGTCGACCCTAGGACTTCCCAATGCTCTCCCTAGAAAGTTATTCATGGTATTTTACCTTTCATCCTTCCTTATGTCAAATTTGATGCTTGTGTAGGAAATAAAGTGTTGTTTTGGGAAGATGTCTGGGTTGGAGACATTCCCCTTAGTGAAAGGTTTCCTTCTATTTATTCACTATTAGAAAATAAAAGAAAAGTGATCTCTTCAGTTTTTACTGATAATTCCTGGGACCTGGGTTGAAGAGGTCTAAGGGAGTCGGAAATGGCAATGGTGGATGAATTAATTAACCTTCTAGGGTCAACCTACCTTGATCAATCTTGTTTGGACAGTAGAATTTGGAAACCTTCCCCATTTGGCGTGTTCACTTGTTCCTCCTTCTTTGATGTCCTCATTCAATCATCAAACCCTGCAAGGAGCCTGTACCCCCAAAAAATTTAGGCTTTTTTTGGGAGGTGGTTCTCCCAAAAATCAATACTTTAGATATGTTGCAAAGAAAAAGGCCAAATTTATGCCTATCACCCTATGTTTGTAGCCTCTGCTTGGGCTCTGGTGAGACGATCACACACCTATTAATTTCTTGTCCATTTGTGTGCTTTATTTGGGCTTGGTTCTCTTCTATCTTTGGTTGCAGGTGGACACCTCCCCCAGACATGGCAAGCCTTTTTGACCCATGCTTTTTCAGGCAACCGAAGAGACGTGGAAGATTAATGTGGAGAGCCACAAGAACAGCTATCTTATGGTCAATTTGGGAAAAAAGGAACAATAAAATCTTTAAAGGAGTGTAATTCAATGAGGCAATTGTAGAAAGGATAATCATTATGACTATTCAATAGTTGAAAACTTTGGATTTGTTTAAAAGACTTCTCAACTAAAGACATTTGTAGGAATTGGGAAGTGGTGGCATCTACAACTTCCATAAAACCTATTGTGCAAGAATTTTGGTCCCCGCAAACACAACAAAGAGTGAAATTGAACTTTGACGGGAGTTCTAGAGGTAACCCAGGCCCTTCAAGTATAGGAGTACTCAGAGATGAAAATGGCAGAATTGTGGCTATGTTTTTAGGACCAATAGGAGTGGGGGACTCATTGAGATCGGAGGTGATGGCCTTGCTTCAAGGTGTAAGATATGCCAAACAATTGGGGGTACACCAAATTGAGATAGAGGGAGACTCTAAATTGTTGATTGAGTGGCTGCAATCTGGTAAGTTGGGAGTCTGGATTTATAAACAGCCCATAAGGGAAATCCTCGACACAACAAGGGAGATCAGTGCATGCTTCAAATGGACAAGGAGATCAGCTAATGGTTTAGCTGACACGTTGACTAAACAAGGGACTGTAAGGGAGAGGATGCTTTGGGCAGTTTTGTAATAAAGATTACTGGGGGCTCAACACCTATTTAGGGGTTGACAGTTGTACTTAACTCTGGAAAGTTATTCTTAAGTTGTATTAATGAAGTTACCGTTTCCAATAAAAAAAACAAATCTAAATTTAGAGAAGAAATAAAAGAAGGAAGAAGAAAGAAGAAGTTCATGAGAAAGAGGAAGAATGAGGAAGAAATGAGGAAGAAAAGAGGGAGGAGAAAGAGAACTTGATTGTATCTCTCTCCGGTCCCTTAATCATATTTTATTAGAATTGATTCTAATGTAATGCACAATTATAAGGGTGCCCCAAAATTCCAAGGAGTGATCTCAGCCATAACATTTCAGCAACACCATTAGCCATAGACCTGAATTCAGCTTCAGCATTGGAGCAAGCAACAACATTTTGTTTCTTGCTTCTCCAAAAAAACTAGATTTCCCCCAACAAGAGTACAATACCCTGAGGTAGATCTCCTATCATCAATACATCCTACCCAATCTGCATCAGTGTATACTTTTATCTTCATGTGGCCATTGTTTTTAAAAAGTATACCTCGGCCAAGACACCTCTTCAAGTAGGCTAAAATCCTTTCAATAGCAAGGAGGTGAGTTGTCTTGGGAGAGTGCATGTATTGACTAACAACATTGATAGCATAAGAAATGCCAAGACGGGTCAGGCATAGGTAGAGAAGCTTTCCCACAAGTCATTGGTACATACCCTTATCTTCAAGAGGTTCACCATCATTTGCAGTTATCTTATGATTTGGCTCAATAGGTGTATCTACAAGTTTAACCCCCAATTTTCCTGTTTCTTTCAGGAGATAAAGAACATACTTTCTCTAGGAAACAAAAATGCCATGCTTGGACCTTGCCACTACAATCCCTAAGAAATACCTCAACTCGCCCAGATCCTTTACTTCAAATTCTTGATTAAGCAATCTGTAAGATAATTAATTCCATTAATGTCGCTCATTGTCACAACAATGTCATTAACATACACAGATAGGAGAGTCAAAGCAGAGCCTTCCCTCTTAATGAAAAGAGTGTGATCAAATTGTGCTTGAACATAGCCAAACTTTTCTAAAGCAAATTTATATTTATCAAACCATGCTCTTTGAGATTGTTTCAAACCATACAAAGCATTCTTCAACTTACAAACTTTCTTACCAACCTCTGCAACATAAAATCCAAGAGGCAACTCCATATTCTCAACACAATCTAAACAAGAAGGGTTAACATCTCAGCTATGACCATCACCATCTCCAATCCTGCTTAGTGCACCAAGAAACAACAGTATATCATTTCCATGTCCTCTAAAGACACCTCCTAGTCCAAATGGACCCAGGTTTCCAAAAGAGCCTGAGTCAAATCTTATTTACACATTTTCCAAGAAGAAAATATATATCTTACTATAGAGACCATTTAACATTTATGTATTAGAAAGCCAAAATAAATCCTAGAAGCCACTGCAGACTAGTCTCTTGTTTAGATCATTAGCAACAAGCGTAGGGACTTTGCTGATGATGAAAATTCAAGAGAAACCCCTGCATCCAAGAGAATCCTGGAGAGGGGGACAAAGTACAAGATTCACAATATTATCACAAATGAATAAATAAAAATTAAGGCACAATACTTGGAAGATGGAAGAACATTGAGGCAAACTCAGATCTGAAATCCGAGGCCTGCGGTCTGAGACCTGGAACTGATCTGATCTGAGTTGGGAATAGACTGAGGTTTCTCAGCTCATGTCTGGAAGCTGGAGTTCATTCTCCTGTTATTTTGGGGTCTGCCCCTATTTATAGCTTTCCTAGAAAGCTTCTGTGCCTTTTCCTCATTTTTTGAAATTTTATTTCTTACTCTGTCTTTACCGGACCATGCAGAAAGTGTGATTCGAGAAATCAGAAATATCCTGTTTCCTAAACTGGTACTACATCAGCTTTCTTTAATGTTGGGAATTATTACGAAGGTCTGCAGTGGGGTTATGGTACTAAGACATGTGCCATTCCCAGCCCATGCACATACCTCAGTTATCTGTTGAAAATTGCCAAAGACTGCTCACAAAGAGGTGCATGTTTCCCACCCTTAAAATACCTGCTTCACATGTCTATTAGCTCTAGAATACGGTAATTTGCTCATCTATTCTCTTACAATGCTTTCTAACAGTAGCACTCATCCAAAAAAAAGAAGCTTTCTAACAGTTGCAATAAAAAGTTGTATCAAAGCAAACACAGGACAGATTGAGTTGAATGCTAAATGGAGGAAATAAGAACGCTATCAGAAGGCCTTCCTTACCCTCCATATAGATGGGAAAAAAAAATCTGAATTGAAGTCATGAGTATAAATGCCATGCTAAATCATAGATTCTTTCCCCGAAAAAAAATCATAGATAGAGCAGAGTTATTTGCCTTCCATAAATCATTTAGTAAATAAATATGCAGAAGAGAAGCAAGAATTATGACTTTGAACCAATTATTATCTCTATTATTTTCACAATTTCTAATATAATCTAGAAATGTCACAGAAAATGCTAAAAGGGTATCTATTATAACTACCTGTTCATACTTATGAGCAATGATACGATGTCGATATGCCAACTTCCGTTTGTTGAGATCATCATATGGAGGGCCAAAGCCATCCTTGCTGAAATCATAATCAGACAGATCCAGCCCATCATCATACTCGTTCAAAGCATCAAGACATGGCATATTGTAATTCTCAATCTGCCTCATAAAGTCCCAAAATGAAGCCAAAGTTAATTGAGAAACTTCAGTAGTTACAAGAAAAGTAATTCTAGAAACAAGATCTGTAGAGAAAATGAAAATGTCAAATTAAAGGCACAAGTGCCAAAATGAGGAAAATAAGGCAAGTTTAAACATCAAAACTACCTGTTCATAAAAGAAATAGTCATCACACACTTGGAGAATATATTTCTCCCACATCTTTCCAATTTCTATGCCCCTTTTGATGTCTTTTGAACCGTTGAAAGCCTCAGCATAAGTCCCATTCAACAAAGATTTCAGCAATATAAGTGTCTCATCCATGTCCCAAATATACACATTCATCTTCTGATCCATAGTTATTCTTTCTAGCAAATTTTTGTGTTTCTACCAGTATTTGTTAAATTAGTATTCAGTAGTTCATCTATTTTTGTATCACATAAGTTAAGAACTCATTTGCAGAATTGCAGCCTGAAAGACAAACAAATCACAGGTTTGATCAAATCTGAGATAAGTGAATTTAAAAGGTAACTACTTCATACAGACAAACTTTGAAATAGAGATTTTCTTTGCTAATAGTGCATTAGTTAGCGCAGTCTGGAAGACAAATGAACCAAGTTTTTTATGGAAAAATTGCGCTAGGAACATTAAATTCTAACTACTTGTATAATTGCACGAGGAAAAAAAGCTACTTTAATAATAAGTTGGGAATAAAATTTTCAAGATCACATTAGTATCAGTGCCTGGTTTGCTTAAAAATAACTAGCTTATGGCACACTTTAACAATAACCCACTTATATTTCTGATTCACTCCGATGCCAACTCTTGAAACTTGTCTCTTCACAAGTTCTAAATACGGAAAACAGAAATAATGCAGACAACGGGTGGTAAATGAAACCAGCACACAAATATCATTTATAGATGGATGAAACTAACAATCAAGTTTGAAAACCACCAATTGACAAAAGCCCAGAACTCATAATTCCAATTAAAAGCAAAAGATAAAAGTAAATTAAATAGATTCAAATATTCAAAATTTGAAATCCCACATTACTATTTGGAAATGTCTAAATATGTAAGAAACAGGAAATTTAAGGAACTCAAAGACAGAAAATTTTGATAAAGAATTAAGGTGTCAGGTAATGGCAAAAATCAAAAATTTATAGATGGATGAAACTAACAATCAAGTTTGAAAACCCCCAATTGACAAAAGCCCAGAACCCATAACTCCAATTAAAAGCAAAAGGTAAAAGAAAATTAAATAGATTCAGATATTAAAAATTTGAAATCCCACATTACTATTTGGAAAGGTCTAAATATGTAAGCAACAGGAAATTTAAGGAACTCAAAGACAGAAAATTTTGATAAAGAATTAAGGTGTCAGGTAATGGCAAAAATAAAAAATTCAATAAAATGAGATTCCCGGAAGCTCATTTTGATGTTTTCCCAAGAACATTAGAGAAAAGGAGAAAAAGAAAAACAGAATTTCTTATATACTAAATTAGAGATAAGAATTTGAGCGAAGAAGAAAAAAAAAAAAGAAAAAACTATCAAATTACAGAAACTGATTTTACTTGCTTACGAGTCGTTGTTCAAATGACAATATAAGATTACCCATGGGGATGATGAAGATCCACAACTTTCATTTTTCCATGTTTTTTCTTCGACTGCTGCAGCAGCAAGCAACCTGCATGCTCTACTGACCTCCTGCGAAAAATCTTGTATTAGGTTCTTTGTGTGGAATCCTCACCGGCTGAAGTCTATGGCGAAAGACTATTCGCGCAATTAACACGGTTGAATTAGAACCTTTACTTTTGAGATTGATAAAATTTTCCGAAGATCTACGGCTTAGAGAATTCCGATAATAATCCATTCGGTTTTAGACGGAGAAGAAATAAGTGGTATATCCAGCGGCATCATATGTTATACACGTCGAGAAAACCCACTATCATAAGTGGGCCAATTATTAGAACTCATCATATGTCATACTCATCTTTACCCAAAAAAAATTGTTTGGGTGATGTTGGGGTGATCATCGGTTGTTCGGTTAAAAATCGAACTGAATAAATCGAATTTTCTAAAACCGATATACTTATTTGATAAACCTAATGGAAACCGAATTTTGCAAATATCCAATAAATTAAATCAAAATTTTTCCGGTTACTTCGGTTGATTTGATTATCTTTCCTATGCGTTTGTGCAAATGCATATGAAATTTACACTACAAAGTTTAAGCAAAGCACTTAAAAATTAAAGAATCCGGTGGCTAAAAATTTCTACAATCCAAATCCAAATTTGGTGACTAACAAAAATACGAGGAAGAACTAAAGATTAAAAGGGAAAAATAGAAAAAAATATATGTACTTAGAGATTCAAATGGCTAAGAAGACTAATGAATTTTGGCCTAAGGCTAATAACCATTGGGCTTTTCACTATGTTTACCAAGTTACCCCAAAAGTTTGGCAAACCGATTTTTAAAACCAAAATCGAACCGATTTTTTGAAATAACCGAACCAAAAACACTAAAACCTTTGGTTTCAACCAAATTATGCTCACCCCTGATGTTGGCCAGTTGGCCTTGTACATCTGTTGTTGCGACCACACTGGCGAGTTCACATATGCGCCCCACATGCACATCTTAGCATGAATTGGGAACAACTTCAGTTAAGATTGGGATGTGTTGTGGGGTGCAGATGTGAATTCCTCCCACGCACTCCCTTGTGATTCCATTGAATATGAAACATGAACAAACCACATCATCGCCAATGATCTCACATTGCACATCTCATACATGGTAGGTCCCACTTTTATGGTGGGTTCCAATTCATAATGAGGTGTATGGTGTTAGATCAAATTGGTAGGGGGTTGGAATGTGTTTTGGAAAAGTACCCTACAGTTCACTATAAAATTCTGAATTCTATTGCAAACCTACAAAAATTCAAAATGCCAAATACCCCCATCCTATACATCAATGCTCGCCCGTGAATTGGCATCAATTCCAAGCTAATACCTACCCCAACTATACTTTGAGTCTAAGAATTATGACGATGGGTTGAAAAGTCATTCTCCCAATAAATTTTGTTCATGTAATGCAATTTATTTTTCATCACCTACGTGTTTGCATTTCATTCGAATCCGACATTGGTCAAGACAAAACCCATTCGAATAACCTTTACAACCTTGCATTAAGATTTGGAAATATCCCTACTTATATGCTTTACTTCATGGGTAGATATTCCCGATGCAAGATTACAAGACTATTGGAATGGTATGGGTAAGGGCTTGCCCCAACCAAAGCCGAATTCATTTCATTTAATCCACACGAATGATTTATTCTTTCAGCATGGGCCCACTCCAATGCATTTAAAGCCATGATTTTATGTTTTAGTCCTGCATTACAGCAGTGTCGTAGCAAAAGTGAACTCCATTTCTTGTGGATCGCTTGTTACATTGGTAGTGCTGTCAAAGGGTCGGGTTTAATGTCGGTTAGGGTACATCCAAACCCAATAACTAAATGTACAGAACTACTTATTAAGGGTTCGATTTGGGTGGATCCAACCTGAGCCCAAAGCGTCCCAGCCCCTAATTTTTATACGGAATGTCTTCGATTTTTGGTCCTTCGAAATAGCCCAAATCTTCGAATTTTCTTATTCTTTAAACATATAAATAAAAACACACACTGACACATATATAGATACACATCGGTGGCCGGCTTGGGCCTTTTGCCCATGTGAGATTTTACTGTTAGTTGGGCATAGGTTGAAAAGATCCGACTTGACCTTAGGCTTTTTTTTTAATCAAAAGGAGAGGAATATATTCATATAGAAAAAGTTACATGAGGGGATTGTCTCGAGTTGTAATGCACCCTAATTTGACCCTTACATGAAAAGTAAGCAAAAAGATGTGTTGCCTGATTATTTTGTCTTGCAATATGCACAAATGGCTTCTATGTAACTGTTCAATCCAGTGAGTAATTCGATCTGTTTTTGCAAATTCTACTAAGGCAGCATTATCTGTATATACCAAAAGACGAGTGATGCCATGAGAGAAAGCCATTTGTAATCCTCTTAACAGGGCTTGAATTTCAGTGTCATAGCTTGTGAGAGCCCACGAAGGTCCACCTTCTGAATGGTATATCGTCCAGTGACATGTTGGATGATGAAACCTCGTCCTGCAGCACCTGAAGCTGAATCATAAGAACCATCAGTAAATAAGCATGGTTTATTATTAGAAGATAGTGGTTGGTGTTGAAGTGGCCTAGCCCCGTTTGTTGGATACTCCAACTGGAATGTTAGTGCTAATTTAACCAGTTGCATAGGATCTGGGCTGATATTATCAAATATTTTCTTATTCCTTGCTTCCCATATATGATAAATGATCACAACAAATCTGCTTAGACTTATTATTGCTTATTGTTTACCCAACATTGCATACAGCCCCATAAACCAGTTAGTGATGATAGTGTGAATCGGATCCTGACCTATATTGGAGGGATTCAATCCAATCTGTACACCAAACCAAATAGCCTGTGCAAACGGGCACTAGAAAAGGAGGTGATGGAGTGTTTCTTCATGCAGCTTGCAAAAAACGCAAAGCCGGTCCTATTCATTTAACCATGACGAACATTTTTATTTTGTAAGCAAGCCATCCCAACGAACCTTCCAAAGAAAATTTTGGAATCTGTAAGGCACCTTTAATTTCCATACTAGTTTCCAATTGAAATGTGTGAATGTCACCGAAGCCCCTAATGATGAGAAGAATTGGTAGGCTAATTTAACTGAAAAATACCTAAAGCATTGTTCTTCAAGACTAACATATCACTAGTTTGGCTAGGATCCAGAGTAACAGCCAGAATGTATTGGAAATGGAAGCCTGAAAACATTCTTGTAACCGAGGGAGGTTCCAAGATCCATCAGGATTGATTAATTTCGAGACTTTTAATTCAAGCTGTTGGGGTTGTTGTGATGATGAGGTTGGTGATGGTACTTGACCTAGCAATATAGGTATCTAAGGGTCGTAGTAGCCTGATATTGTCGTACCATCATTGATTGACCACAGTAGATTGGATCTTAGCAGTAATGCCATTCGGCGGGCTTGCTGCCACCATTGTGAACCACATCCTTTTTTTATAGAGAAAATAAAGGTGTTTAGAGAATACCTGGACTTGATTTGCTTGCTCCATAAACCTTGGCTATCTATTAATAGCCTCTATATCTGTTTACAAAACACATTGCTTGATTCATGGTACCAAAAGATCTGAAACCCATGCGTCCTTGATTTTTTGGTTGACAAAGCTTCCTCCAAGCAATGGTATGATGAGAAGTTTTGTGATAATCACCTCACCAGAAGGTTCTTGTCATTTTGTCAAGAGATAAAGTGGTTGACTTTGGCAAAATGGACGTTGACATGGGATATACAAGAATAGCTTGTAAAACAAATTTAACTAATGTGGTTCTACTTGCTTGTGATAATAATTTAGAACTCTAAGAGCCAATTTTTTATTGTACCCCTTCAATAACCTCCTTATGAGAGCCACAAAAATGAGTATATTTGCCAATTTGGATGCCAAGATATTTGGATCCTAGTAGAGGTTTCTTTACATGGAGAATATGAGAGAAGAATCTCCGATGATGTCGGGGTACATTCCTACTAAAAAAGGTGCTTGACTTGGAGTAGTTTATTTTTTTACCAGATATGGCTTCGAAGGACTACAAGGTATCGACAAGAGAAAACTTGAGCTACTTCTGCCATACAGAAAAGAATACAATCATCTGCAAAGAAGAGGTGAGTGATGGAAGAACTACTGTTGCTGATTTTTACTCCTTCAAATTGTTCGAATGCGGAGGCTTGGCATAACATTTGTGTGAGAACTTCCATGCCTATGATAAATAGGTAAGGAAAAATGGGATCACCTTGTCGGACTCCTCGATTCAATTTGAAGTGATCATATGATTCACTTGCTATTTTGATTGAGAAAGTAGCAGTGGATATGCATTGGTACACCATGTTACACCATTTTATTGAAAATTCCATCTTCTGAAGAAGATGGTATAAAAATGACCATCCCATCCGGTCAAAAGCTTTGGACATGTCCAGTTTGAGAGCTATGAAACCCTTGCCCTTTTTTTGCTGAGGATTGGCTAGAGGCGTATAGCCATCCATTTTGTTATTATTTTGTAAATCACATTGCATAGGATAATAGGCTAGAAACTTGATGTATCCGATTGTTTTTTGGTATGAACACCAAATTCGTATTGTTGATCTCTTTGGACAGTAATTCGGTTGAAGCAGCAATGATTCCTTATGGGATGGAGATTTCTTAAATAGTTGAACAATGGATGTATGTCCACGAGCCTTCCGGGGTTCTCAGCTAATCTATATTATTTTTTTTTTATTTTTTTGATTTGTCGCGTGGTGAAAGTATTTTGTGTTTTTATCACCCTCCTGAAGCCACAACTCTCGAGACTCGAGTTTACTCCATAATTGCTCCTTTCTCGAGCCAGTAATGATATTGTTTTATGAAAGACTGGAATTGCTGATGACTCTGGTTATCTGAGATATGAGATTTGATCCAATAGCTTGAGAATGTGGTTTTGTATTAGACCAAAGTGGTCTTTATTCCAAGATTTGAGGGCTGATTTGCAGTATTTCAATTTGGTGATAACTTGATGAGCAGGAGAGCCTTGGACCGGTCGACTCCAAGAATCGGAAACTATCTACTTACATTGTGGATGATC